GTTGTAGTTGTTGTTAATGATGATGATGGTGATTCTTTTCGAAATTGAATTGAAATTGAAAGAACATATTGTGTAATTGTTCCTTTTATCTTGTAGTGTGTAGTAAAACATTTGTGATTTGCATAATTCTTTGAAATCCTATAAAGTGTAGGGAAAAAAGAGATGCAATGCTAATATGAGAAGACAGAAAAATATAACTAGTAACTGATAAACTTGAGATATGAATATATTCTATCACAGTGATCGATATTCCTATACTAAGAGAACAGATTCTGAACAGAAAAATAATGCATGTTATACCTTTTGGCCTTCTTGAAATGCATTAATCTATGTAATTTTTTGTTTACCTAATACGAAGCTGTGTATTCAGCTCCGATCTGTGTGTGTATGAGAGAACCAGTGGTGTGGTGGATGCTGTTCACAAGGTGGCATATGAATAGCGTGGAGCGAAGAACAACATTGAATCAACTACCAGAGTGGAGTAGCTAGAGATAGAAATGGATAGCGCGATATGAGTGCATTGAAGTCAAGTCAACAACCTGCTTACATTGGAAATGAATATCCGGAGATTACGTGTACATATTTTGTAAGTAAACTGTATTTTCTTCAAATACATATATTCCACCTGGTCCTTATATCTCCATACGTTACAATGGTACTATTCGGCTCTCAAAAATGAAGAGTAAAGATGAATACTAAACTCCACAACTGGTGTATGAAAGTTTAGTTGTATAAACTAACTCAGTCAATAGAATTCGATCAGCACTAAGACGAACTTGATCTGCATCTAGATATTCCATTGAAAACTTCTGTCACTGTGAAGCTAGATCCACAAGGAAGCATCAGTTCCCCAGAGATTACAAATACATTTTTCCTAATGAGCACGAAATCGATGTTCAAGGTTTCCTGAACTATAATAGACAGAAAGAGAATCTCTGATCGGTTGTGTTCCTATTTTGTCAAGAGAAATAGGTATCATTCCCCATTTATAAATTTCCACTGTAACTACATAAAATTCTTTTTCGAAATATTTGCTTAATTGTTAGTTGATCATAAAGCTATCGATTAAATCTGAGATAGTGAATTGCTTTTACATACAGAATAAATTAAAATTCCCACAAAATTACTCCACAATAAATTATAACAATTGTAGATGAATGATTTAATTAATATGAAACAATAAATTGGTTTTGTTATTTACAAAAGTAAACATCTTTATAAGGAAAAATTGTGATTTATGAATGTCAATGCATGAAATTATAGGAATATATCAGTTCTGTACGTTAATTTTAATAAAAAAGATTATGTGAATTACAATTTCTGACAAATAAGGACAGTATATTATTTTACAAACAAGACTATAATCAGAAACCTGGGAGCACTGGAGAGCCGTTTCGTCTTGATATGAGACTCATTGGTAGTGCGCACTCAGGACTTCCACTTGAAGGGATTGAACCCAGGACCTTCGTCTTGCACGTGAACGACTAACCTTTAGACAACTAACCCTACATTGGCCAATGGTATTGTACGATCTTAATCAATCCTTGATATTACGCAACCTCGCTGCTGATGAGCCCCATATTAAGACGAAACTGCTGCCCAGTGCTTCCAAGTTACTTATAATTGTCTAAAAATAATCCATTCATAATTTCAACGAAACTTCATAATCTCCATAACTCCATAATGAAAAATGGTAAATATTTCACTGAACTGCATATTTCTTCAAAACATGTTATTTTATAAAAGTGATCATTATTATTAAGATTTTCAGCTGAAGATTCAATAATTGTGAATTTTTCCTTTACTTCTAGTGATATACTGTGAGGGGAATGGCCAAAAGCATTGAGAACTAGTGACGGGTTCAAGATATGTGGTCATTATTATCTAAGTGTCAAGAAGCATGACTGTATATCATATTGGGAAATAACTGAGCTTGATCTTGGGTTAAAACTAGTGATCGTGTGATCACTAGAGGTCAAATGACATGAAAAAAATAATCACTGCACAAACTATTGATTTTCGTATCCATCTTAAAATAAATACTTAAACGAACGATATAAGTAGTATAAGAAGGGACGTGAAAGAATAACTCTCACGGTCACTAGAGGAAAACGGAAAGCAAATGGAGCAAAAGCAAGAAGTAAATGGAGTACCGACAGGCAGTAAAGGAAGCAACAGCAGGAATGGAAGAAGGCTGGAGTGTTGGAAGTCAGGATTCAAAGATGGTGTGCAAATAGAGTGTTCAATGTATTGTTTTCGTTTTTAATTGACTAAGAGTGTAAATTTGCTGAATAAACAATCTATCGAGCCTACCTTAGTCTTCTCACTACTACTGGGTGACAGATATGATGAAGGAAATTGTGAAAAATTGTTCACTAATATGGAGTTAGTTGTAAATAATGAATCTAACCCACTGTTCTTTAAGTGATGTTTGAAAACTAGAATATTCAGTATGTTTAAAAATTTTTTTCTGAATATTAGGAAATTCATTAAATTTGATTAATATTTCGATCAGAAGAAATTTTCTAATGAATACCCTTTGTTCAATAATTACGAAAATACAATTCATGATGGAATAGGTCTGATTTGATTAGGGTTACGAAAGCATATTCTTGAAGAGTTTCAATTCAGAACGAAATAGACATCTATTGTTCTTTAATTTGTTACATTAATGCTGACTCATGGCATGAATTATTTTCAAAGATAGAAAGATGACCAACGATTAATTTTTCAAGTTTATAAACAATAATCGATTTGATGTTGTGTACTTTTTTATATAGTGATAATACACTTAAATCTACTGATTTATTGAACAGATGAACGATGAGAATAGTTTTCTTAACGGAAAAGAGAAAAGTAATGTGCATATATTGATAGCATTACCTGTTTAAAAGAGAGCAGAGTCTTTAGTTTGGAAATTTGTAGATCGATCAGTGTAACTAAACTTAAGATCAAAACAACTCATCGATGTTTTGTTCCAGTGAATTCTAATATGTATGAATACATACATATCTGATGTTATTCATTTGTCAATGTGTTATCATTAAAGCATACTAGGTTTATAGTTGACAAAGTAGGATAAAACAAATGAAGATTGACATTTGAACCAAGAACGAATTTTGTTACTTCTAGGTTTATGATTCAATAATCTATCAAGTGTGGTTAGTCTTAATGAAATGCCAAGACAGGTAGAAATAAAATAAGATCAACTACTTTTCCTTTCAAATGATAGATATATATTGAAATCGTGAGTGAATCTTTGTTAGATCACCATTAGAAACTTGACAGCACTGGATGGCCGTTTCATCCCGGTATGGGAACTCATAAGCAGTGCATATCCACAAAACCCACTCGTGAAAATCAAACTCAGTACCTTCAGTCTCGCCAGCGAACGCTTAACTGCTGAACCACTGAACCGGCCACCATCCAACGGTGTAAATGTTCAATTCCGGTCAATCTAAGGATTTTCGCAAAACCTCATTCATTTTCTTAGGTAGTTACTGTGTACAACAGACAGGGTTGCATTCCCCTGGTCATGTCTTCTCACTTACGTAGTCACTAGTGGGCACAATTTATAATTTTCGCATTACAGATTTATAGAAATTGGTGTTTTACATTAAAATTAGATGTGTACTTTAAACAATGAAATATCTGATATTTCATTCTATCATGCCTTAATATCGGTAGGATATAAAATACTCTATTGATTGATAGCAGTTTTCATTACTACATGATAACAGATGAAAGAGTATTTGATAATCATTTCATTCTGATCCAGTAAACTCAAACAAAAACATTTCATGAAAATAAATTCAACACTTTCAAATATCATTAATACTCTTCATTGATTAAGTATGTATGCAATGATTGGAAATTGATCATTGATAAAAAAGACTTTGAACATTGATGATAAAATTTGTTTTAACAATCTATAATCTTATATATAAGGTTTATCTTTAAAAACATGAATCGATCAATGTTAGACTACCATCAGAAACCTGGAAGCATACTTGGATAAAACGGTTGTCCAGTACTTCCAGGTTTATAATGGTGGTCTAACATTGATCGATTCATGTTTTCAATTAAACTCAATCGTCTCCACAACTCTATAACAATAACAAAATGTCTATAAAAAAGCTTATAAATTGTTGAAAAGATTCCATAATTACAAAAATGAAAAAAAGCATTCTTACACATTTGAAATCATCAATCACTCATTATTAGACCACCATTAGAAACCTGGAAGCATTGGACGGGCTTTTCGTCCTGGTATGGGACTCATCAGCAATGTGCATCCACGACTCCTGCACCTCGCAGGATTCGAACCCAAGACCTTCGGTATTTTGCGCGAACGCCTAACCTCTGGACCAGTTTAACTTGTACTAAGTATTTCATATATCAGCTGGTAATATTTCAAGTTCGTCAGTTGAAACATAACTTCCCATAAATGAATCTCAGAATAAATGTTCATTTAAATTTATCATGAACACGTCTTAAATTCTTGATAAAATCAGTATTTCTAGAAACCATTCAATTCTTATAATTTACATCATACTAGTTAGATTAGCATTGAAAACTAAGAAGCAGTCAACAACTGTCTCATCCTGTGAGCATATATTACTCATCACATGAAGCAGCAATCAGTATATTCAGTCTCTCAATCTAGTAAACATTGAGTTGACATCTAAAGTTATCCATCTGTAACTTCAGTCAGTTCTGGTTATGGCTTGAGCATGTTGCATCTCATACTCGACATAGTTGAGCTTCGCTAGTCACGGTTACTTCACTGGAGCTCTAGGATTTTCATTTCGACGTTAGTTGATAGTGAGCATATAATTACCATTAATATAATAATGTATTTTAACTAAAACTCTACAATAACATAGTTAATTACGTCAATGATACAATAATTGGCATTTTGTTGAGTGTACATAAATGTTTGTGAGGTTAGTTTTAACTTACCGTAAGTCTCTGTCTCTCTCTCAATGAATAACAATCTATCATCTACCATTAATAGATATTGTTGATTTATTCTCATTAAGAAATGTTGACGCTCTTAATTTATCAAACACTGGAATATCGGTTTTTGTAGCATATTGTAATAATGTATTTGTTGTATTTGTTATATCTAAGTCAGGATTTTGAAAATGCATTAAATGATCAATAGAAAATGGTTTGTTGTTTAAATTTTCTGAACGATTTATCACTTCATCATTACTATTCACAATATTATCTACATTGCATTCATCATCATTCTCATCACTGTCACCATCTACTTCATCTTCTTCATTATCTCCGTCATCATCATCATTAATGCTACATTGTTTAGCATGTTGATTTGTTAATTTACCGCTATTGGAACATTGAATAATAGTTAAATGATCAATTTCTTTATTGCTATCTTTAACACAACCTAATAAATTATCTTTTGATTCTGTTAAAGGTAAATAATTTGTATTCCATGTATTTGATTCTAATATACCTGTATGGAAATTTGAAAAAGATTCAGGTATCGCATATGAAGAATTTGTAAATGTCAATGTTGTAGAAGGAAACGAATTCGATGAAACAATACCAACTGGAGTATTCATTGTACATAACACTGGTGATGTTGATGTTGATGATGACAAGCAACTTATCAAGGAGGCAGATACACCGACAGATGAAACTGCAGACAACGTCGATGACGACAACGATGTTGGTACTATTATCTGTGAAGTGGACATTGTCTCAGATACGCTATGTACATTCATTGAATTGATAAATAATGTTTCATTGCATGGCATATATACATTTTCATCAATCAATGATGACATTTGTTCATAGTTTTGATTTAAATATGGTGATATTGGCATGGTGGTTGATGTTCTTGGTGGTGTCGATGTGGCTGTTGTCATTAATCTAGTTAACATAAATTGTTGTATATTAGAATATTCATCAAAATGGCATTGTTCTAATTCAAATTGTTTATCAGTTTGTTGAGAATTTCGTTCCATCGTGGTATAATATTTTTCTATAGTTGGTGTTAAATTCAAATTATTCAAAATCATGGTATTATTATAATGATGATCATTAGTGTTGGATGTTTTGTTAGTAGTATTAGTAGTAGTATCAGTAGTATCAGTAGTAGAAGTATCAGAGTTGTTATTATTATTCAATATTTGTTTAATATTTGTATATTTCATTGAATTATTCATTGGTTCATATTGGTTTATTGTTGTCAGACTACAATCGCCATTATTCTTCTGATGATATTGCAATTCCGACGGGATATTTGTTAGTTGTGAATTATATTGACATGTCACTACTGGCAAAGGTTGTTGTGATGATAAACTGAATGAATTTAATAAAAATGACTGATCATTTTGTGTATTATGGGCTTCATTTGTGAAATATTCAGTTAATGATTGATGATGATGATGATGATTACTATTACTGTTATTGGTACTACTGATTTGACTAATATCAGTAGTTAATTTCATTGAAGAAGAAATCATTTTATCAACAATGGATAATTGTTGTTGTTGATGTTGTTGATGTTCATCAAAATTCAATTTATTTGAATAATTCTGATCAAATGGTTGCATTGAATGTCCTTGATCAAATCGGTGATGATCAAAATTATTATTATTGTTATTATTATTCTTCAATGATTCATAATTGCTTTCTGGATAAATAATGTCGGTAATATATTTAGTTGTTGAATCACGACTATCATAAGGACTTAGTAGAAATAATTGAGATGATTTAAATTTATTAGGAATTGATTTTTCAGTAATGCAGTCAATTGTATCAGTATGTTTTGAATATTGTCTAGATTTTGAAGAGATTGATTGATGATTAGGATGATGACGATGATGGTTTTGAGTATTGTATTGGTCCATCATTGTATTCTCTGGTTGTATGTTATGATTTAAATTGGATTCCATAAAATTCTGTTCATTGTTATTAGTCATCAGACTGAGATCGTTTTGTTGTTGCTGATGGTGTTCTACCCTGTCATCATCATTGTCTTCTCCGTCTTCATTGATTTCTTCATCCTCCAAATCAACACCGACATCATCATCATCATCAACGTCATCGTCATCTTCACCATCGACATCCCCGTCATCGTTATCATCAACTTCCTCGTCACCATCTTCATCATCATCATTACCAACATCTTCATTATTAAATCCATTATACATCTCCCCGCCAATAGAAAATGGTTTCATTCTATTATACAGAATATGATCATTACGTTCTAAATTGATAAATGGATTACACTCTGTAGTTTTTGAATATGTACGTTTTATACCAGTTGGTAATATTAATAAATCATTTGTAGATGTTAAAATAGTATTTTCACTAGTTGAATTCATATCTAGTGTACTTCTATTACTAGTTGATGTTGTTGAAGATGTATGAACACTATTATTGTTATGATTATTATGATTATTATTACTACTGTTATTATTATTATTAGTAGTATGTCGTTGACTACGATGACTTATTTCACGTTTAGGATCTTTAAAACGTTTTTGACGTCTTAAATAACAACCATTTTCAAACATATTCCCTGAATCTGGATGCAATGTCCAATAGGAACCTTTACCTGGTTTATCTGGACTACGTGATACTTTGACAAAACAATCATTAAATGATAATGAATGTCGTATGGAATTTTGCCAACGTTGTTGATGTTGTCGATAATATGGAAATAAGTCAATAATGAATTGATAAATTTCTGACAATGTACACATACGACTTGTAGAATTTTGTATAGCCATTGTAATTAAACTTATATAGGAATATGGTGGTTTTGGATGACATGATTGTTTTGATGATGAATTTGGTGAATGATGTTGTAAATAATTTGAATGAGTATTTGGCGGTTGTTGTTGTTGTTGGTGTTGTTGGTGGTGTTGCTGTGGATAAATCATAGTTGAGCCAGCCAATGGAACATTGGATCCTTTTGATGTTTGTTTAAAATTTACTTCATTTTGATTTAGCATTGATAAATTTCGATTGGTTTGTTGTAATTGTTCATCATTTGGATGAAATAGGTTATAAGTTAACTGTGTATAGTCTGATGTGAAAGGTGTACAATAATGTTGCTCTTGATGAGGAGGCGGATGTTGATGTTGATGTTGAGGATGATGCGATAACTGATGCATTTCTGAATCTAAATATTCCAGTGGTAATTGACTATGAGTTAAATATTTTGTTGGACTTGTTGATAAAAATGTTAAATTTTCTGGTAAACAAATTGACAACTCATGATTTTCATACAGTTTATTATTATGACTTGTTGTAGTTGCTGTTGTTGTAATTGCATTCAAACATTGACGAAATGTTTCATCTGGTGATGTAATTTGATTGTTTAAATGTAAAGCATCTGTAAAATAACGATTAGTTTGCGATAAATCATTATTCTCCACTGTAGTCATTGTTAATTTCGATGTGTTTGTTGTTAAAGTTAATGGAGATAATGTTGTTTCAATTAGATTGAGTGAAGGATTATCATAAGATTGCATAAAATCAATCGATTTCTGTTGAGGCGGATTATTTTCCAATTGAACATGTTGATGTTGATGCTGAGCATGTTGAACACATTGATCATCGGATGTTGCATTCATCTTATCGATTATTTCATGATATTCAGTAAAATTTGACCATAATTCATTGGTTGTTGTGGTTGTTGTAGTTGTTGAGGTTGTGGTTGTACTAGTAGTATTACTATTATTGTTACTATTAGTAGTAGTATAATACCATATTGGTGAAGATGATTGATGTGTCATTCCATTCATCATTGCAGTTGTATTCGACATACATGAAGATGATAAATTTGGATACCATGTGATAGTATCATTTAAATGAAGGAAATTCAACGGGTCTGTTTGATAAGTTGTTGAATAATTCACTGGATTAAGATCAATATCAGCAGTTGAATGAATGTTTTTAACAAAATTACAATTCATTGAATTTGATTCTTTCATATTATTAATATTATCATCATCATCATTATTATTATTATTTGAAATGTTAGTTGTCAATGTACACTGTTCAATATTCATTTATTTGTTTTAATTAATAGAAAATATACAGTCTGGGAATTTTGAATTTTAAATGAACAAGTATATATAAAAGGAAGTAGATAAAACATACGGTTTCGAATATATGCAGAAATTCATTTTTTTTATGGAATGTCACAAAAGTGTGTTTTTTGAATCTCTATACACGGATTCAAGTGTTGTGGAATTAATTTAGTTAACCAACACTAGATGTTATTGCACTAAGAACTTATTAAAGGGAATATTCATGTCACAATAAGTTTAGAGCTGATAATTTTACTAGAATGATTTCAAATTTGATGAAATTTCAATAAGTTATACATCAAAATGTTTTACTCAATCTATAAAAACATGCACACGATACATATACATACACCTACGCCTAATTTTATTTGTATATATGTTTACATTAAATTATTAACCTGTAGGTCTTTTGTAATAAGAAAAAAATTCTATACATTATTTGAGTAAATGATTTTTACTTTTATTCATTCTTCTAACCACAAAAGTTTCTGTCAATGAAAGTAGACCAATCTAATTGTTGATTGGTTCAATTCTAAATCTATCTATCTATCTATCTATCTATCTATATACATGATTCTCAATGTTTAGTTAGCTAGTCTAATTCAAATCTCAATACACACACACACACACATCTCACCTACTTCTCTTTTTTACCTTATGTTACTGAATAAAAAAGTAAATGAATAATGTTAAACTCGCGAATATTTCTTATTGGTTGATTGAATAAAAATCTATAAGCGATTTCTCATTGAATTTTTTTGATTGGTCAATTCAATTTGAGCAGAAAGAAAGACAAGAAGGTAAAGTGAATAAAAATCAATTTACTTAATTTCTGTTGGTTGCTGCTTCTCTAATCAACGTTTATATTTTAAAAAAAAATTATTTAGCCTCAAGGAATGAATTAGGGATTTGTAGAATTAATATAATCATTGTCCAAGTTGAATATTTTGCTATAAAAATAAAAGGGATTAATAACAACTCACTATTTAGATGAAATTGTTTAGATAAAATAAATTAGTAAATATCAGTTTAGATTAGGATATGATTGAAAGTTAAACCTTCACTTGATATGTATTAATTGTTGCTCTGGTTGTTGGAAGACGCACCGACCTTGTGACTTCTGTAAGAAATTTGGCTCTCATCATGAGGCGGCATAACTCCTCTAAATGAAAACCTTCCAACTCATAGGACAAAGTTTAAACGGTTTTATGTGTTCATTTTGATAAGGATTGGTGTTCTATGATATAGGGTCGCTAACCCCATGCACATCCTCCCTCCTGTATCCGTTCTTCGGATCGGCAATTACCCTATGGGGGCTCCAGGCGGAGCAGTATGATTGATAAACAAGTATGATGAACTGATGCCGATGTAAGGACACAGACTGGCAAAGCAAGGTCAGTATTTGTAAAACTAAACAACATTTGGAACTCAAAACAACCACCAACCAACACCAAAGTAATAATTTTCAATACAAACGTCAAGACAGTTCTATTTTATGGAACGAAAACTTCGAGAACTATTAAAGCTATCATACACAAGATACATATGTTTATTAACAATTGTCTACGCGAGTTACTGCTCATCCCTCAGCCATACAACATCAGTAACAACTTACTGTTAGGGTGAATAAGTCAGATTTCAGCGGAGGAAGAAGTAAGGAAAAAGCGCTGGAGGTTGGTAGATACTACAGATATTGTGGAAATCATCTACACGAGGCAACACGAGGCAGGTCCTAATTTGGAACCTTTAAAGCCAAAGGAAGAAAGACAAACCAAGGAACATACTGTGCTGAGAATTGAAGACAGACATGAAAAAAGTAAATAGCATTTGGGTAAATCTGAAAAGGATGGCCGGGGACAGAGTAAGTTAGAGAATGCTGGCCGACAACCTGTGTTTCATTAGACGTAACAGGAGTAAGTAAGTAGGAAAGTAATTATTTAAAAATCTCTTAATGACCATAACTTTACAAATAACATAAATTTTAGTCATTAATTCATGTATATCAGTTATAAGAATGTTCCCATTGTCATGATTATGGATTGTAACTGTCTAGTCTATTATCAATGCATTATCTAATACAGCTTAAACATTTTAGTAAATAGTTTAGTATTCTATTTTGAATAACAGTTTTATGGGAATCAAGCCTTTTTTCACTTTAGAATCATACAGTAAAATGTATCCAGGTCTTAAAAGCTGTATTAGAAAGCAAGTACTTACTTACTTACTTACGCCTGTTACCCCCAGTGGAGGATAGGCCATCGACCAGCGAATCATTTTTCTGGTTAGCGTTTTTTCAGCTAATCGGGTTTCTACTGCATAGGTTCGCTAACCCCATGCCCAGCCCTGGTCCTTTCTCCGAGTTTGGGTTGGGCAGTAACGCTAGAATGACTCCAGGAGTGAACGAATACATTAGACTGAAATTTATAATAATTAATTATTGAAGATTTTGACATAGTACTATGAGTACTACTCTTGAAATTAGAAAAATCTACACAAAACACATTCATAAAAGAAGTATCCTATTTATATGCTAAAAATGACAATTAAAGGAGAATGTAATGGCCATATAGAGTACAAGTTATCATGTCATGTTGATATTTCTCTATTTATAGTCCATGTGTGGTGCGCGCCACTTATAAGTAGTATATGACGCGAGTGTAAACGTAATGTCTGGCACCAGAAGATGGGGGAAGATCAAGAGAAAGGAAGAGTGAGAACACAATGGAATTTGTATGAAACGCGTGAATAAGTGAAATGTCAGACAATGGATTGATGATTGATTGAAGATGTGCAAATTAACGGTTACGATATGGTTTTCTTATTTTACTGATGAACTCTGTAATTTGCGATAAGTACAATTCGGTTGCCCTTACCTGTGTCCTCCTTCACTACACATATACAATTGGATTTGTACTTATAAAAAAGAAAGCATAATTTAAGATTTTTAACTCAATTAATGACTTTCACTTATGAAGTTAGTTGATTTTCAGTTTAAGGCTGTCAATATTGTTGAATTACACTGAAACCACATAGTTTAATCTAAGTTACACTGGACAGCCTAGTATGGAACTCTTTGGTGGTATGCCGGGACCGGATTTGGAATTTTCAGTTTCAAGTACGAGCACTTAACCTCTAGACTATTGAGTCAAGATTTGTAGTTTTAATTCTTGTATCTAGGGTTGTGGATACACACTACTCAGATGTCCCATAACAAAATCAAAAAGCTACCTAGTGCTTCTCGATTCTTACTTAAATCAGTCCTCTGAGTTAAATTCAT